GGGCTTGCAAAAAGGAAAGCGGTTCTAAAACTGTTTAGCTCTAGGACCCTGGCCAAAGCGTCTGGGGATGTGCTTGAGCTATAGTGTACTGGTGATTCCCCTCTCTGCCCTCCCCCACAACCCTGATGTCACTCTTGCATGATTGCTGTTCATGCGCTACTGTTGTGGCCTGCAAGCCGGTCACAACATTACTGCCTTTCTTGAACAGACACTGCTGTAATACAGTGATGTTTATTTTTGTATAGTCTAAACACAAATTGTAAATGCAGCACATTGGAAATCCCACTAGAGTCAATCAGTACTAACTAATAAAAAAAAAAACCTAAAATTATGTATGATGGCAAACCAGCTCTAATACTGTATGACTTCTATGTTCCAGCAAATTTCTAAGTCTTTCAGAGAGAAAAGCACTTGCTTGTTTGATTTGGCTTATTCTTCTGACTACTTCTGTGCATATACAGAAGGAGGACTTCAGAAAGTCATCTCAGGCAACCCGTTCTTGTTGTCACTGTCAGAAGCAATCAGAACTGCTGGGGCTGCATTCACACAGCAAAAGGAGCAGACGACCAAGGCAAATATACAGGCCAATTTTCTGCCTGTTGGATAAAGTGTCTAATAAACACACGATGTCTGATCCAATAGCTATTTGCCAGTAGACAGTTTATCGACCTCACAGAGATACTTGGACTTAAATCAAAAATGCATAAAATGTATGCAATGATGCACAAACATGTATACAGAAGACCACAAAATAATACACACACACATCAGCCTGGGAGGCTGTGAGTGAATATGTATGGGAGCTCAGGGGGCCCTTTAGACTGAAGTTATGACCTGACAAACAGAGAATTATGGTAGGATGGAAAAAATGCTAAAAGTGTCTGGTTTGAAAAGGAGAACACAGATAATCAGAAATAGTAGGAAAGGAAGAAGGTGGGGGAAACAGCCAAAATGATGGAACCTGGGGGACTCAGGGAAGAAGGCAGGAGAGGACGCCAGCTTCCTGACTGGCCCGGGAAGCTCCCTTTCTGAGCCGTTTACGACTGACAGCGAAGCAGAGCCGAGAAACGGGCAGAGAATTCAACTCTGAGAGTGTCCTGATGTTACACGAGACCCTTCTGACATAACTTTATCTGTCCTATGCATACAAAGAAATGAACAAAACTGAGAGAGATTCAGCGAAGAAAATGCAGATAAATTTGGATGGCAGTAAAATATTAAAGTATTACTATTTAAATGTTTTCTGAAGTGTTTATATCATATCTCTTTCTGAGGTTCTCAAAGTTTTGACTGGGACAAAATCTGATGGGTTTATCTAAGAAAATCCAAATCTGATCATTTATTATAAGTACATGCAGATCTCTCACCCTTGCTGATGGTGTATTTCTTGCTCATGTCCTCTAACTATGGCGAGAGTGGTGTGCACGTGGATCCGCAGTTTATTAGGGTCAAAATTTTAGCTAAAAATATTTGTGACTAATGCAAAGATTCTAATTATGAGATAAACATCATATGTATATAGGCATTGCCTCTGCTTTTTTGTTCTTTGTTCTATATTTAACACCTGGTGATGATGGGATCTACAGACATGAGTGTTTTCTTCTGAGGTCACTGTTTCACTGGTGAAGCGTAATGAAAGCCAGCTCAGCTCTGTCAGCAGTGAAGCAGAGAGGTCAGGAGTCATGACCTTTTTAACTCAAAGTGGGAATTATAGAATGAACTACCTCGATCGTGTTATGTAACCTCAGTGACTGGTCCCTGCTGAGCTGATAATAAAGCCATTATTTTGCCTCGTATACACTGGACTAGATTTAATACTCACACTGAGTGGACTCAAGGTCTTGGTGTCAAGTTGGGATATTATGATTAATATGAAATAACACTTCCTGGGGTTATCCTTCTTTTCTCATCTAAACCTCTGCACATTTTGTGAGGTTACAGTGAAGTCCTCCTACTGTTCTCATCACTAGATCCATGTGGATGTTTTCTTACAAGAATTACTTTAACTACAGTAAGTCCTACTGTTACAAGTGTTGATCTTTCCATATTTCTCTTTCCGGGTAATCACTCATGAGTGTTATGGTGGAGGAAGAGTGGGGGCAGTGGGGCTGTCAGGGGGCCTAGAGTTACATTAACCAGCAGTATAAGGAAGGCAGGAGGTGGTAGCGCGGTCAGGGGTCATGGTGCTGTGACAAACAAATGAGCCACCCAGTGAGGAAGTCAACAAGAGATGCTTTCCCTTGGAGTTCCACAAGCCTGAGCAACAGCAGCTACTGGCAAACATGTGTGTGACAAATGTGCCATCTGAACCAATGGCAGCGTCTCAATCATCAGTATATGGGGTTGCCACACAAACACAGTCGAGAGGGTGGACGACAGACTGTATGGAGAGAAGTGAAACAGACAAGAAGGAGGCAGCAGACACAATAAATGACTATGAGGCAGATATTGACAGGACATGTCAAGCATTGTTCATAAAGGAAATTCCAAGAGATAGAACAAATGTCTCATGGGTGGTCTGATTACAGACGCTCTCACAGCTGAGCAGACTGCTCCACTAGGATTAAATGTTGTGAAGACTCCCTGCTGGGGAGATCATGGGAGAGATGTTAGTTGGACTGCAGTCAAGAAGGTTTTACTGTGTCATGGTTGCCCTTTGGGGCATAATGACCCAGCAGCCTCATGATGACCTACTTCCGCAGTTCTAATCTATTCAAATCCCCCTCCATCTCTTCTGGTTTCTGGGTTTTATTATTTAGTTAATTTTGTGTGTGTGTGTGTGTGTGTGTGTGTGTGTGCATCCCCTGATGATTCCTCTCCATTCACTTCCAAGTCTTCACTGTATACAATACTACCCACAACATTTTCAGTCAGTCCTTTTGGCTTTCCACAGTTAGTGTTTCATGGTCTCAGCCTTCTGTCTGTCCTCTATCTTATGAATTTTTTTGTATTTTCTTCTCTTTCTCTCCCCCTCACCAGCTCTGGAAAGTACATTCACACAGTTCAACAATGACACAAGGACTGTCTCCTTCATGGCAGACCATGCTTGTGTTTTTTCAATTAAGCCAGGCTTCTGTACACTATTCATTTGGGAAACCATAATTCTCATGGCCCAGAAGAAACTAATGGAAAGTCGCTTAAGTTTTTTCCAGGAGAGGTATCGGAAAGACTCGTAGAAGCGTGTCAGACTAGTGGGGATGGAGGGTAAAACTGTAGAAATGCTGTCTGTGATAATACAGGAGGTGCTGATAGGAGGTGAAGGCCTCACCCAGGGTATCAGGGTGAATGAGAGCAGGAAGGAGATGAGTGCAAGAATACAGATGAATACATTTCCAGGGGTGTGTGGATGAAAGTGAATAACTCGCAGGCCGGATCTGAACTGCCCAGCAGGGAGGAGGAAAGAGCCACTGAAATTGCTTCAAAGTCCGGTGTCACTGTGCTGCACATGAATACAGACTGTCTTCTGTCCTCTTTATTTATAGAGATGAGCCCCGGTAGCATCTTGCATCCAACCTGCCTAAAACAGCATTCAGCAGCAACACAGCGATGCACAACATTGAACAACTCATTTGAAATTAGAGAGTAATTACACTTTCACTAGCCAGACAAGCAATAAAAACAACAGTGATATAAAACTTGGGATTTTTTTTTTTCTGAAAAACAATATGATCATGGAACATTCACCTCTAGTCAATTGTTTTGAATCATAGGTTTTCCAGAACATCTTGGCCCCAGTCTGACCCTCTTCCTCTCCAGTAGGAGCCTTTTATCACCATTAACATAAACCTTTAATTGAATGCTCACTCAGTCTCCATTCATACAGTGTAGGAAGTGTGCAAAGACATGGACACACATACAGCATAGTCAAGTGTGCACGCTCATACATGCACAAGCACACAGCAACGTACCATTGCACTTGCTGTGCGCGCACACACACACATGCATACTAATGCACATGCACATTAAAAGTGGGAGGGACCTAAACTAGACAAGCCCTCATTACACCCCCAACAATCAACCAGAAAGACAGTGAACGAGAGAAGAGAGAGAGGCAGTGAGGAGCTGCACACGAGGAGGAGACAGTCTGAAGTCTTACCTCAAGAGTAATGCTGTGGAGCTGATACAAGGGAAAGCCTCATGACTGTAGCGGCCTCTCTCAGTCTTTGTCTCTTTGTATCTTCCAGCTGTGGGTCACAGGCGCCAAGTAGCACAGGCAGCGCACAGAAGAGCACTGCCCAGCACACTTCACAGGCAGAGAAATCAGTGGAGTCACACAAACCCCAGGCCCGTCTGCTCACACTCTGCCTTTTGAGGATGAAAAGAGAAGACTTCATTACCAGCTGCAAGGCCACGCCTACACTGCACTGGTCTCCCTCCTCCCATGTCCCCTCTCCCTTCCTCCCCTTCTCCTTCTCTACCTCTCCGCTTCCCTTCCACACTCTCAGCCAGTAGCACGCTCCAGGGCCTGTCCCAGCCAAGAGATTGGAATCAGACTGCCAAAAAAAACCTCTCATCCCACTGCCTGCCAGTGCTGTGCAATGTGCACACACACACACACACACACGCACACACAGAGGGACATGAGAAATGAGAAAGGGAATGGAGAGAGAGAGAGCTGGTTTTAAACCACAAACTGTTGTTTGTTTTGAATTTTTACATTGAGTTCACTGCCTCAGAACCAATAAGGATAATGTGTGTGTGTGTGTGTGTGTGTGTGTGTGTGAGTGGAAGTGTCAAATGAGAAAACTGAAGGATGGGAATTCATTTTGGACCAAGTGAAGGGTGTGAGCCAGTAATGAGCAGTAATATGGGTGATCAATATGACAGTTTTTAGTAGAAAAGTACAAGAAAAAAAACAAGACTAAAACATTTTAGCAGGGGCTAATTAAAAATTCTAATTAAGATTCACTATAAGAGAGAGAGAGATTACATAAAACATCACTCAAGAGGACGCATGTGTGTTTGTGTGGTATTTGTGTGTAGTTTTAGGGTGGGAGAAACTCTCTTTGTGTGTTTGAGTTCCTATAAACCCTTCTGTAAGTTGCACACTGCTTTCATAAACAGCACCAAGAATAAAGATGATACTTCTTGTCCATCTTCACAGTGTCTTTCCCCTCCCTGTCACCCTGGCTGCCTTTTCTTCTTGAGCCAAAGTGAACTCTCTCCCCATCAGACAGGGAAAAAAGTCTTAAACGCACTAGCTGTTTACAGTCTGTAATTATGACGGGCTGGGTAGACTCAGCCCAGACAAGCTCTGCGCCCTGCCTCCAGTGCCACCACACACAAACGCAGCTCTACCAAGTCGACCAGATTAAACTGGGCCATGGCACAGAAAGAGTAGTGTAAACACAGTGTAAAGAAAAGAAGACAAAAAGTGAAGCTTTTTAGGAAAAAATGCATTGCGGAAAAACAAACATAGTGGAGTATATTCTAAACAAATTACAGTTATGGGTTCATTGGAGGTCACACTCTACTGTATGCCCTTGACAGAAAACAAACAAAAAAATGCAAGTTCAAAGTAGTGACTTCCCAGAGAGCTCATTTACTAGGAAATACTGCAGGTCAAACTTCAGTCCATAGCGTGACACTTGAGCCTTGATCCTGCTAAAAATGAGAAAAAGCCAACACCACAGCGCATCACTGCATCCAGCAGGACTGCCAGTGCATACAGTGCCGCGTTTGGAGTCAGAAGAGGACAGCACTGGCTTTAAATAAATTAATACAACTCTAAAGTACACTGACACATGCTTGATTTCTTCATAGTAGAAGGCCAGCGGTGAGAAGACAAAAGCAATGCATTACAAAACATTATGGAGGGCTTCAGGAAGGACTTTCTGAAGTCTCAAAGACTACTGAGAAAAACAAAGACCAAAAAAGGCTGCATGATGTAATAAAAAGCGACTACTGAGAAAAACAAAGACCAAAAAGGCTGCATGATATAATAGAAAGATGCTTGTTTTTTGGCTATACTTGATGAGATAAGTGGGGATTGAACACATCTCTGGTGATCCCACATGCTAGCATTAACATCTAACAGATCTTCTCTGTGGCATAATGGTGTCAAATGTACACCTGTCCATCTAACATTATTTAAGGTTATGTGCTGCCTTACATGTCGGTTGTGAAAGCCCGGAGCTTGGATCTGGGTATCAGACAGTCAGAGTCAGTCAGTACTATAGATAAAGGAGAGGCAATTTTATTACAGTGCACTTTACTGCTAAGAAACACTAATCCTCCAAAACCAGAAACACTGACAGCTCTGCTGTGTGTTTTTTCAATCTATCTCTAATCTGAGGATTTAGAGACGTAGGAAAGACTAATGCAAAATCTGAAAGCTGTTGTTTGTTGATTGCCTACTATGTAATTAAGAAATGTCATTAGGAGAACAATTATGAAGAGATAAAAATTGCACAAAGTGGCAATATAATGAGGAAAACTGAAACCTGACAGACTGTCACAGAAAAACAAAATGTGATTGTGCCTCAGGATCTCGAACTGGGATTTAGGACTGAGGTGGAATATACTGGAAAGTCCACTATCCATCCACTAGAGGCTGAGTTGAGCTATAATGTACATACAATTTTCAGACTGGGATGAGCTAAAGTTTGACACCAACCCTTTTACACAACATTTCTGATACCCTCCTCCACATTTTTACAAAGATAAACCTTGAAACCTTTGTGTCTCTCAAATTTATAACTGAGGCACCTTTTTTTTTTTTTTTAGGGCTGTGGCTTTTTTCTGAGCTTTTCCTGTTAGTGTGAACTGGATTCAGTTCCAAACAAACATTGGCTGCATGTGTAATGAGAATGCCACATGCTGCTTGGTGCAAAACTCTACTTAATACAAACAACAGATTGGGATGAGATATCAGGTTCAGAGGCTATATACTGTAGGCGACTAACCTAAACACCACTGTCTTAAAGACAACTTTTACACAAAGCAGGTTGCCATAAGCACAACAGCATCATCCCACAGGAATACAAGGTTACAGAAAACTATAAAAGCAGGCTTTCTCTGAGACTGAACTTCAAAAGGATCAGTGCAAGGTCTGACTGTCAGACTTCACACATGTTTTGTAAATCGCCCAGCTGGGGTGGATCAAAGGGATTAAATTCTTATTATTCCTATTAAAATCTTACTGCCAATAACTAATAAAAATGTTTGTGGTAAGATCACATGTGAATGCGTACTACACTGGATAAATGAAACAAGAGCATACAGTACATGTAGTGCATCAGAGACAATGTGCCTTTGGATAGCTGCTGGTATCATATTAGACTTCAGGATATCATCATAGGTTGTTGTAAAATTGAAATTTCACTCTTAATGACTTGAATTGAAAACAGAGTTGAGGCAGATGGAAAGAGAAGGGACATTCTGTGTTCTTAACACAGAAAACCTTTGTAAATTGTATCAAAGTGAAGGAGCCTAAGTTTGATTCCTTAACATTTTCAGGCTGAATATGGGGATTGTTTAAACCGGGCCCAGGGGGGCTGTGTACATCAGGACACCAATGGCTTGTATTATACTTGTCCAAGCTAATATTTTTAGGCCATATGAGGCATTAAAAACACATTTTTATACTTTATCCATACCGTACCTTCCGGACTATAAGCCTCTACTTTTGTCGCTTCATGCACACACCCTCATCATGGACAACACACGATGAAATGCATTTGATGCTGCTTCAAGTTACAGGCGATCGATCTGGCTGTCGAAATATCTCATATTACAACGTGGACACCTGCGGCTATGTACAACATGTTTTTTCCTCTTACATTTAGTGGGTGCGGCTTATAGTCCGGAAATTACAGGTAAACCAACAGACAGTGTGTTTTCATTGGCCATTCTCTCTCTCCCTTCCTCTGAGGACGTGACCTCGGACTATTTGAAAGCATGAATTTTTTCATTCCATTCTAAGTGGATGTTGAAAGAACATCCAGGACTCAAGAGTTCCCATTTCAGACAGTCTACTTTGATGAGCTCAAGTGAGATTAGCATCAATATAAACAGATCAACATAAAGAGGCACATATAACAAACCTAAACATACATTCTCACACCTCCAAACCTGTGCTCTGCAGGCAGCACAGCACATATAGTGAGTGAAAAGAAGCCTCTGACATACAACTTCAACATCTGTCATATGCTTCATACCTTATGTGGGAACTCTATATTTGTATGGACTTAGGAGTTACAACAACAAAAGAAGGAATCATTGTAGCTGGAAGACAGTGGAGTCTGACTGGCTGTGTACCACACAGTGCACTCTGAAGCACACACAGTCATTAATGTGTGGTAACTGGGACTGCGCCCTGAACAAGATTTTACAAAAGATTAAACACAAAAGACCAAGCCTCAGGTCTGTGTTCTATACAGTAGTTACTCCTGCCTGACAAACATACATGTAGTTTCTTAGCACTGTTTTCTTTCATGTTGGAAAAGCTGCATGTTGTAATTTCACTACAGATACAGTGAGGATGTATGACCAGGGTCATTCCAGGTCATGTTGGTGGCATGCCCAGAGCCCCGATGAAAGGCCTCTCCATTGCCACCAACACCACACATGCTGTAACTGTCAATTAAGGGCACTGAGTGTAGGCACCGACTAAATGTGGTGACTACAGTATATTTCATGACTCACTGACTACTACATACCTGAAATAACCAGTAAAACAATTATATTAGGGCCTTTACAGAAGGCATATACAATATTTACAAATAGGAGGACTAGTTCTGTGAGTGTATTGTGTGCTAGAAGGGGCCCCAGAATAATGAAACTGTGGGTTTTAACTTAACATCACAAAAGTGATGGTGGTTAACTGAAAAGCCTAACACATCCATTCCTTTTCTCTGTCAGTGCAGCTTTTGGGCTATAGAGCTGTCGGGCTATGTGGCTAGCCTCAGATTTGGGAATTTCACACCTACAATGGCCATGGCCAGCAATGGGCAGGGTCCATCACACCTTAGTGAGCCATTTCTGACCGAGAAAGCCCAGCAGCCATGAGTGCATGCTCTCCCCCAGGGCAAACACGGGGAACCCCAGCCAGTGTAGACTTAGCAGCTTGGCGATGTGTACTCGCCCCGCCATGTGGACCAGGAGTGATGATGTTCCCAGGGAGACAGGGTCTAGGGTTTTAGGCTGGGAGGAGGTGAGGTGGGACTGAGGTAGAGAAAAGGCTTTTCACAAGTGCTTCGAGTTTTTGGAGAAGCAAGAAGATGTAGTTTTTGTGCAGAACTATTTTCTTGTTCTAAAATAGTCAACTATTAGGTACAATAGAGTTGGCAAAATAGCTGCACTTG